TCTGCAGCCACTGCAACACAAGTTCGATCCCAGCCAGGGAGCTGACCCACACGGCACAGCAGACCTCTCCTGACTTGCCCACTGCTCCCCTCAGCAGTATATTTCAGTACATCTGCCTGTTCTGTTCCCCACTGTCTCTGGTGGATCCTCTCATCACCCTCTCCTGCATCTCTGGCCTGCACCCCAGTTCTTGTGTGCAGGAATAAAATAAATCTAGTTCTAGAATTAGGTGGTAACAGTTGCACAACCTTGTGAATATACTAAAAACCACAAAACTGTTCACTTTAAATGGATGAGTCATTTCAATTAAAACAAACACAAAAAATAATGACTAAGCGTCACTTCCTTGCCAGGCACTTATCTCCCTCATCTTACCTAATCCTCTTTAAGCAGATATTCCTCCCCGTTTTCCCAGCTCAGGAAGCTGAGGTGCAGATCTAAGTGACACTAGGACACTTCAGCCGGCCAAGTATGCACTGGGGCCAGAACACACCTCCACGCCAGTGCTTGCACTCTACAGTCACGCATCATTTACCGACAGGGACACATTCTGAGAAATGAGCATTAGATCTCGTTGCTGTGCAAGTATCTTACAGTGTTCTTACACACACGAGGCAGTGTAGTCTCCTACACACACAGGCTATGTAGAAACACTGGCGTCTATGCTGCCTGTCACTGACAAGCAATCAGCAAGCAACCCGTGACCTACAGGGACACGCCATACTCTCCACACTACAAAAAGTTGGCCTAGGGTGAGTGAGCTTCTAGCCAGGTGGTTATAGCAAGTGCATGGTAATCAAAACAATGAAAAAGAAACTAAAACACAAACTGATGATGTGAGAGACCTGGGATGGATCCACACGAGGTGACGGGGGAAGACTCCTATTAATCCACTAAATTTAGAAACAATTTCAAAAATTGTTTCTAAAAATCTTTCAAAGAGCCATCTCCATAGCCTTCTGCAAAAATAATAAAGTCACCTAACACATGTACTAAGGTATCTACTTCTACAAATAAAAACCAAAAAATGTTCTGGGCAGTAAGTACATATTCAGCACTTTTAGCTCACGTTTTCACAGTAACCCTGGGAAATATGCATTGTCTCTTTATCGAGAATCAAAAATCGAATGATTCACATTTGATTAAAAATCACCAGCCCTTCTAACTAGAATACTCCCAGGAGGGACCAGTGAACTGCAGTGAACCAACACAGACTCAGGACTCAGTTGCCTTGAGCACATTCACAACTTGAGTCTTATCTGCTGTCCAGTCAGGCTGGCACCTCTTTGCCTAGACTTCCACTGCCCTTATCCCTACCCCTCCCAAAAGGGGTGGGGGAGAGGGGTTGTGAGTCTAATTATTTGGTACAAATTACAAGAACTACAAAACTTATTCAGAATTTTTATTTTAAATGTGTAGGAAAGTGACAAATGTGTCATATTCTTACGTGAAAGGACTTTTTTTCTTTCAAGTTAGGTTTTGGGTTTGGACCCTACCTGGTTGGGTAATAAGATATTATTTAAATTATGCCCATCTATAAAGTCTAACTACTTGCCTGGTATCAGAGAGTAACCATTAACACATGGTTCAGAAAAAGTGGTTTCTATTTAACTTAAAATATTAAGGGCAAGACCCAAATTTACCAAAAGAATTTTTACCAGGCACTTCTGGTTGTCTTGAAGCCATTGAAAGACTGGAATCCAGATGCTTTTCCTATATAGAATTCAGAGCTGAGTCCCTGCCACCTAATAAAAATAACAAAGGGCATGTTCTTATAGCAAATAGCAAAGAATAGCTCCAATGCTGCTCTTTTGACAAGCACACAGAATTTTCTGGCTTGTTTACAAGATAGAGACACACACTAAGGGCCAATGGGTGACAAACATGTCAACAGGAGCTGATTGTAACATGACAAAGATACTACATGGCAAAAAAGGTCACCTTACCAGAGTGAAATGATGTGACGTTTATGCTGACAGACAGATATTAATGAGGAACATTGTCCAGCTGATGCAAATTAGCAAAGCAGCCCGGGTAGAGTCCATCCATTCCAGAGTTCTAATAACAACAAACAACCAGCATGATACAGCCGTCCACAGTCTGCCAGACGCCTGCCTGTACACTTCAGGTATTCCCCCACAACAACCTTGTAAAAGATTATATTCACTTCATCTTTAAGTAAGTTACCGCACAGGGCGCGGGAACAGTATGCAAATTCGCTAATACTGATAGTTCTTAAGGGTTTTATACAAAACTCACCTTGCGTTTCAGCCCTTGCAGCAACCCTGCAAATCTGACAATACTTACCCCATTTTAAAGAAAAAGAAACTAAAAATCAGGAGTTAAGTGCTTTATCCAAGGTCACAGCTGAAAGGCATTGTGACGTCCCCCCACCCCCACCCCCCGCCAATTTTACAGGGTAGTGAAATTAAAGCCCTGAGAAAGGCAAGTTATTTGCCTGTCTATCATGATTTAGCTCAGAGGGCACACTAGTGATTTCTTTATTAAAGGGTATCGCAGAAAACAAAGTTCCGCCATCCACCTAGTCCAACGGGCACTGCAGACCCAGAACCTCTTCTACTTTCCCTTCCCATCTCATTCCTTTTCCCCCCCCCCCCCACCCCCGACCCCTCCACCCGCAGAGTGGAGACAAGACAAAGCCGTCAGGATTTTAAACACCGAGTCTAATCCAATCCTCACACCTCCCCGAGGCTAACACCGACTAAAGAGAGCAGTGCAGGGATCTAGTGCAAGGCGTAGGTTCCTGAGGGCTAGGCAAAGCAGGAATTTTAAGGGGGAGGTGTGGAGGGGGTCTCCAGCCAGGTTGATCCGACGATTAAGTAAAGGAATGGCCGGGTGCTAGACAGCAGGGACAACATCGAGAGAAGCTCCACAAGAGGACCCCCAGAAGGCGGGCCGCGAGCGGCAAGGTCGGGCTGGCCGACTTCTGAGCGGGAAGAGACCAGGAGAGGCCGCCGGCCAGCGCCTCGGTGGAGGCACCAGAAGCACGCCCCTCTGGGGCTGGGGGCTCAGCCCCAGGGAGGGCCGGCCGGCCGGCCCTGCCCCGTCAGGTTACCTGTTCCGCCGACGCGAAGGTGCCTGCGGCTGGTTTCCGAAACTAAAGAGGTTCCGAGGACGCACGCCTTTCGTGATGCTGTGATGCAGTCAGAATCCAAGCCATGGCTAGAGCGACGCTGTGCCCAGAGACACCAGGAACCCTAAACACGGGCCAGGAACACTGGCTGCCGGACCTGCCGGCAGCCTCCTCCCTGATAAAGCCTCCAGGCCGGGTCACATCACGCGAGACTTGGCCGGGAGTTGGGGGGGTGTGGTCAAGGCATGCTGGGAATTGTAGTCCGCGATCTAGAAGGCACCAGGACCTTCGCTGTCTAAAGGATTTACAAATATGGCAAAGCAATAAAGTTGCGAAAATAAAAGAGGGTGGGTTTTTTTTTGTTTTCTTTTGTTGTGTTTTCGATTTCCGTATTTCTGCAGCGTGTGGAAATCTTGCCATCAAGGCTTATCTCCAACCGGCTCTGCAGTTTGAATGTACATTTCATTTAGATTTTGGTAGTCAGATCCACTGACAAGGCAGAGGCTTTTCTCCTGCACCTTTATTAATTTTTCTCCTGAAACGTTAAATTTGAATGTCATTACAGACTAGACCACCCCACTTCAGTGTGATATTTATCTATTTATTTTAAAGATTTATTTATTTATGCATACAGAACTAGGGTACAGACCAGAGGTGCAGGGACGATGAAAGGATTCACCAGAGACAGAGCGGTGAGCAGAACAGGCTGACTAAAGAAGTACACTGCTGAGAGGTGCAACGGGCAGGTCAGGAGAGGTCTGCCACACCATGTGGATCTCCTCCGGGAAGGTGGGGATCGAACTCATGTGGAAGTGGCTTAAGCTTCTTAGTGCTGTGCTTTAACCCGCTGTGCCACCAGGGAGGGCCGTGATATTTATTTTTAAGTTTTTTATAAATTTTATCATTAGCTTTTGAACAGCACAATTCCATTGCAATGTCTGTTAAAAGTGTTACTTTGTTAAGTTGGAACTTTTAAAATATACCATAATTTTTTACATGCAAATCTGACACCTTGTCCTCTTCCATCCAGCTAGAAGGAAAGGAAACTTTCCACCCTTAAACAATTATATTAAGCCAGGATCACCTTGCTTTGTTCTTAGCCCCAAAGAAATGTAAACAAGCATTTCCCAGAAAATGACTTTATCCCTTTCTCCGTACCTATATCTAAAATCATGACTATGAAGCTATCCGAAGCCACTGAAGCACACACACCCACAGCTCTGCCCTGTACCCCAGTTCTTATATGTATACATTTTTTTTTAATGAAACATGATTTGGGCAGATAGTAGCCATGTGAAAAAAAAGTGTTGTTTTCCACAAACAACAAACTAACTTGGTTTTTTGGTTTTTAACGATCTACTTCTTCTAAAGTCTTAATTCCTTCAAAAGTCTTCTGTTGCCAGTAATTACTTTTCTAAATGGTTTGGGTAGATAGCCAAAGAGGATTCAGATAGTAACAACTGAATCCATGAGACCAAGAAGGACACCTTCTGAGCTACTTGAGCTCAGACCGTTTTTCACAGCTCCCTGGGTAGATTCATCTTGGCATTAGTGGTTCCTCTCCACCTTCTTTCCTGTGCTTTCTTTCTGACCCTGGCTTTGGCTCTTAAACAAGCCTATTTCCAGTTCTGTGCACAACCACTTTACTTCCCCAAGGATGGCAGCAACATTGGGAAATTGGTTTTTGAGGTCAGACTGCATGGTTATTGCTTGAGAACAGACAACAGTCTAGGATTCTTGTGTGTGGCTGTCCAAGGAATTTGGTTGCCTTTTAAGTATGTACAACATACACTTAAGGAAATTAATTTTCTAAATACATTTTCTTCTGAATTATATTCTTGCACCTCCTTGGACATTTTAAACTTTGCTAAACTTGCAGCCTCAAAACTTGAATTGACCAGAATCTCTCTTATATCCATCTTGGGCACCCAAATCACCCTACAGATCCACTTCCTAGGGGAGGGGACATGGAACGGGGCTGATTCTTCCCACGTGCCTCCCTCTGGGCATTTGCCTTCTCTGGTCTCAGAAAGATCCACTATTTCTGGATCCACTCTGATCCATGCCAATGTCCCCATGACCCATCAGCAACCAGGATCTTGGTCACTGGGATGGTAGCAAGTGGTGGATTTGCATTGCTCTAGACTGTAGCCCTATCTGGAACCCTCACCCTATATCATCATAGATAAGGTGTTCCACTTAGTCCTGCTCAGGAATTGTCCTTTCCATTGGTCAGTGGACAGTAGAGAAAACTAAGAGGGGGACCTTGGCAAAGTACCTCAGCCAGGAAGTGGCAGAGCTGAAATTCAAAACCAGGACTGAGTGCTCCACTGATAGTTTGGATGCTGATTGTCCTTGATCTCACTCAGCTTCTCTTTAACTTTCCTGGCAGAGGGTTGATCACACACATGTTATATCTAGAAGATTTAGATATAATATCTCCCTCTAGTGGCAAGGGATAAAGATTTTACTGAAGAAATTAAGGATGTCGGGCCATCTCTGGGGGCCCAACAGGTTAAAGAGCAGCACTACAAAGCTAACTGCAACCACTGTAGCATGAGTTCAATATCTGGCCAGGGAGGAGACCACACGGCACCGCAGACCTCTCCTGTCTCGCCCACTACTCCCCTCAGCAGTGTATTTCAGTCAATTTGCCTGTTCTCCCCACTGTGTCTCTGGTGAATCCTCTCACCACCCTTGCACCTCTGGCCTGTACCCCAGTTCTGTATGCATAAATACATAACAACCTTTAAAAAAAGAAAGAGGGCCTGGTGGTGCAGCGGGTTGAAGCACTGCACTACGAAGCTAAAACCACTTCAGCATTGAGGACAATCCCTAGCCCCAGAGGTGACCACATGGCTGGCAGACCTCTCCTGACCTGTCTGCTGCTCCCCTCAGCAGTGTACTTCGTCAGTCTGCCTGTTCTGCTCCCTACTCTGTCTCTGGTGAACCCTCTCACCTCTCGCACCTCTGGCTTGAACCCCAATTCTGTATAGATAAATAAATAAATATTTTTTAAGAAAAAGAAAGTGGAGATGTCCTTGAACTACTTCTCCATCCTGAGTATGAGATGGTATCTTTGTAGTTTTGACCTGTGGGAGATAAGGTGTTAAATCTAAAATGAGATTACTAGGGTAGGGTCCAAATCCAATCTGAATGATATCCTTAGAAAAAGGAGCACACCCAGAGTTGTGAAAACACAGGTTGAGCTACATAGCAGAGTGGATATGATCAAAGATCATGTTGAGAGATTTCAAAAAAAACATGGAGAAAGTATAAATAGTTGGAAGTAGTGTTGTCCACACCTAGCTGCTGCTGGATGGTGTGGTACCTACTGTAACCAGAGGGCCCCTTGGCTGGGAAGCCACCCCCACCTGTCTTCACTATAAAGTGGGCGCCCCATCCTCAGCTGATGTTGTTTTGTGATTACATCCTGTGGATCGAACACTGAATTCCTTCTCCTCCCTGTCCCAGAGAACAGTTAAAAAAAAAAAAAAAGTAAGGAAGGCAATTATGAAAGAAACGGATAAAATTAAATCCTGACCCTTAGGAACAACTATATCCAGGGATGCAAGTGGGACTGATATTCCACTCTGTCTTTGCATTTCTTGCTCATCCTCAGCCTCTCAAATTTCAAAATTTCTTTAAAGATAGGAAATGGCGCCCAACAGCTGGTTCAGTTTTATATCATGATCTACCATAAAGAGTGATCTCAAAACTCTGAGTACCAAATTTAATACCAAAGAAGGGATTCTTTGTCCAGCCAAACCTAAGTAGTCACCCTTGAACTATTCAAGGTGTTATGTAAAATTATGAGGTTTGGGTGGATTAACTCAATTAGAGGACCCTGAAGTCCTCGGGAAAGGAGTTCTCTGTAGAGAAAGACAGACATTTGTTTGTGTAGCAGTCCACTTTACTTCAGAACAGACCTGCACACACTAGCTGCCCCTCTTCTCCATCATCATTGACAAGTAGCATTTACCATGGTAACTATGGGTAATCACTGAGGGATGTTTAGTTAAAAATGGCATTGTCAAATTCTCTTCTGCAAAGGCTGCTCTACCAAGATATGGGAGCTGCACTGCACAGGAAAAGTGGGCAGTATGTATCTTTACATTTAATTTTTAATTGTAGAATATCCAGATGGGAGTATATTTAAAAGGACATGACATGACCCACAAATAGGTATGTTGACTGATAGGACTCTGTCTTCCTTTTTTTTTTCCTCAGAAGAAGGTAAAGAGTAACTTTTTATGATGGATACTGTTCTATAGTAGGTAGAGGTAAAAAGTTAAAAATGAGCTCGGAAAGGGTGGGTTGAGCTGGTCATTGCCTGTATAAGGGCTTCATTCCTCATACTCATCTGCTCTGCTCTGTACCTCAGAGACTAACTCCCGCCAATCTTATTCCCAATTTCCCTTGCCAGCTGGTTAGTGATGGTAATGGTACTCAGTGGCAAGCAAAAGAGACTGGGAAGGACTGATCAGAGAGAAAACATTAAAGGAGCCAAAGAAGGGGAAGTGAAATTGATTCAATTCAGCAAACCTTTGTTAAGCCCAGACTCTGGGCCTTCAGTCACATATACTTAGCAATCAAACAACAAGATGAAAAAGTGGTGGGAGCTTTTCTCTCTCCCTGACATCTAGGCAGCTGCTCTTTCTTGGGAACCATCCCACACCTAAAGCAGAAAGATAGTGGCCAAAAGAAGACAAAAAAGTTGTGGAGGGCCCTCCCTGGTAGTACAACTGGTTAAAGCACAGCACTATGCAGCTATCTGTAGCCACTGCACCACAAATTTGATCCCCAGCCAGGGAGGTGGCCCACATAGTGCAGCAGACCTCCTCTGTCTAGTCTGCTACTCCCCTCAGCAGGTTTTCAGTTGATCTGCCTGTTCTGCTCCCCACACTGTCTCTGGTGAATCTGCTCAGTCCCCCAGCCCCCAACCCCTGCACTCTGGCCTATACCCCAGTTCTTGTGTGCATAAATAAATAAATCTTTAAAAAAAAAAAAGTGTGTGTCATTTCTCTTGTCTGTAAATGAGGACTGATAATTATTCTTCACTTATGGAAGATGAGGCTCAGATGAGATACGAGCACTAAAACTCACGTATGTGCTAATTATTAGTCATGGCGGTTGAAATGATTATTGAACGTTAGAGTAGCCATAAAGTGAAGGATATAAATTGGGTATTCAGACAAAAAAAAGTTTCACCTTCATAATTATAAATGTGTAAAAAATAAAACCAAGATTCTTAAAAAAAAAAAAGTGTGGAGTCATTCAACTCTATTCTCCAGCTTGTTGTGAAAAGTGGAAAGCACGTGCTGGGGTAAAACAAGCAGACTCTGAAAATGATCGGACAAGGCAAAGCAAAACCTGTCATCCTTGCCAGCAACCGCCCAAACTTGAGGCGATCTGAAACGGAATACTAACCCATGTTGGCCAAAACCGACGTCCATCCCTCCAGCGGCAACAACAGGACATGTGTGTGAGAGACAACACTAGAAGCACCACAGGGCAGACGGGTTAAAGTAAACATACAAAATTTTTCTTTGATAAAATTGGCCAGAGTGTGTTTAACAAACAAATAAACAAAACAAAGTGGGGAAAATGCAGGCAACACACAGATGGGCTGAACTCCAGCTGACACATAAGAGCATATCACCTACTCAGGAGGCAGGAAAGGTAAGGCAAGGACAAACTAAACCTTGAGAAGCCTTCAGCTTTCTTTTAAAATGACTTAAAATATGAATGTCAAGGTCAAATCCTTTAAAGAATTTTTTTTTTTTTTTTTTTACTGCAAAGTTCTGGCTAAATATACAGGTGAGAACTATTCTCTGTGAGACTATTCCTGTCTTGCCAGTGAAGAGATCCCAGGAATGAGCTGGTTCCCTGCCAAGTTTTAAGCATCTAGAAGTTTCCCAGGTCAACCTCCATACTGCTTTCCACCAGAGAAGGACCAGTCTGCATTACCAGCAACAATATAAGGGGAGTTCCTTTTCCTCCACATTCTCAACAGCACTTGTTTGAATTTTGTTTTTTAAGATTTATTTTATTTGTACATATAGACCTGAGGTACAGGCCAGAGGTGTGGGGGTGAGAGGATTCATCAAAGACAGAGTGGGGAGCAGAACAGGCAGATGTACTGAAATACACTGCTGAGGGGAGCAGCGGGTGAGACAGGAGAGGTCTGCTGCACCACATGGGTCAGCTCTCTGGCAGGACATACGGATCTAAACCATGCCTCAGTGGCTGGCAATAGCTTGACATCACTGAGAATTTAATCCTTGTGCCATGCCACCATAAAGGCCCAGCACTTGTTTTTGATCTTTTTGATATGGGCCATTTTCACAGGAGTGAGGTGGTTTCTTATTGTGTTTCTGACTCAAAGTTCTCTGATGATTTAATAGTGAGTATTTTTTCATGTGCCTTCTGGCCATTTGCATGTCCTCTTTTGAGAACTGCCTTTGTAGCTCTTGTTTGTGTGTTTTGATTTTTTTGTTTAGCAATTCTGCCTATTTTTTGGTTTGGTAATTTTCTTTTTGTTGAATTGTGTGGGTTCTTTGTAAATCTTTGATATCAGTCCCTTATCAAATTATGGTGCACAAATATTTTCTCCCATTCAGTTAGGTGTCTTTTTTATCTTACAGTTTCTCTCTCTGACATTTTATTACTATAAGCCACAGTAAGAAATATTTACCTGGTGCCCCAGCATATACAGGTGTGTATACACACACATTTAAAACAAGTTTCATGAAATGTTTTTTTTCCACTTAATTTTCATTTTATAATAAAATAATATAGTTGTTACCCATTAAATTTGATCACTAATATTCTTGAAATATATACTGTTAGGCTCTATACGTACTGTTAGGTTCTATCCCCAACCATTTCTCACTTGTTCCCAGAGAAGTGATTTGTTTGAATGTGGATTTGGGGGAAGACAATAGATGGCTCCACCCAGGTGATTCTGGCACTTTCCTAGCCCTGACCACCTGCAGAGAGGGTGGGTCAGGATGCCCTCAGCCTACCTTAAAAGGTCAGCAGATGCTCATTAGGCAGCTTCTTGTTCCGTTTAAGTAGTGAAGCAGTTAAGTTTCCCAGGTCTGTTTGGACTGCCACATTCCCGGGCCTGCTGCCTGGGGGAGGCTGTTGCTTGGATTCTGCTGTTTACTGGAGCAGAAAGTTCCTGCAGTATACTTCTGGTCCACAGTAGTAGCTATGGCTACCTTGACCACCTTCCCAAGCAGTAATGAATGCTTATGCTATGATGGGTGGGATGACAAGATTCCTCATACAACCTGCATAAAACCTCACCATTCATGTACCTCACAGCTCAGTGTTTTGGGACTGATCCCACTGAGCCTGCCACTGTGACAAGTAAATCTCTCTCTCCACCTCCCTGAGTACCATCTGATTTCTCTGGGAAACTGCCGTAACAGTACCTATCCCTTCTGTTTGGTGACAGAGACATTCTCACCATTAATATTCGCAATACTCTTGCTTTTGCTTGATTTGTTATGTCACAGATCTAGTGGCTAATCAATGTTTTAGGGGAAATATAGTTGGGGGTTGGGAGCTCCAGCCCTCTGCTCACTCTTTTGGTTCCACAGAACTTGATTACTAATTGTCTGCTATTCATCAAAAGACTTATTAACATAAACAACCAACTAACATAGTTTGTATGTTATGTATTACACATCATATATAGTAGTCTTAAAAAAGAATATATAAAGGACATAAGAAAAAGTAAACTTATAGTACTGTACTTAGCTATATTATAAATTTATATTATCTATTTACAAGCAAATCTGACTATTAGTGGCCCCATACAGTTAAGTGGGAAACCATATTAGCAAGCCTATTTTGGCTGACATCTAATCCACTTTCTTCAATTCAGCATTTACTGACAACAAAAATGACATTTTTTTCTTCATTTAGCAGTATCCTTAGTCTTCTCAATTTCAAATTTTGGAAGAGAAAGTATTATTTCTTTTTTTTTCTTTAAAGATTTATTTATTCATACAGAACTGGGGTACAGGCGTGGTGAGAGGATTCAGAGTGGGGAGCAGAACAGGCAGACTGACAAAGTATACCCACAGCAGGTGAGTCAGGAGATATCTGCTGCGCTATGTGGGTCACCTCACCTGTGGGGGATCAAACTCACACTGGGGCAGGGGATCCTACTCATATTGAAGTGGCTGTGGCCAGCATACAGTGCTGTGCTTTAACCCACTGTGCCACCAGGGAGGGCCCAAAAGTGTTATTTCTTAACCTGCTGTTATGGACTACATGTTTGGGCATCTCCAACATTCATATTTGAAACCCTAACACCCGATGGGAGGTTTTGAGATTTATACAAGGGAATGAAGGTAGGTCCCCATCATAGAATTAGTGTCTTTATGGGAGGAAAAGAACCTGAGGTCTTTCACTGTCTCTCTGCCATGTGAGGCTACAATGTGGCTGTCTGCAAGGAAGAGGCACTTATGGGGTACACTGAGTCAGCTTGCATCTTGATCTTGGATTCCTTTGCCTTCAGAACTGTGAGAGAAAGGTCCTCTTGTTTTTCACCCAGTCTACAGTATTTTTATGGCAACCCAGCATTTCACAATGTTAAAGGTGCCAGGAGGTGAAGTATCTCAAATGTTACATCTGATATACCAACAAGAGAGTTGTTAGAGATGCAGGTGAAACAGATTCTCCAGGTGGGCACAGAGAAGTGGGAATTGTATCTTATCCAGAAATGGGTCTGAAAGTAAAGAGAGAGGGGAGACCTGAGAGATGTGAGCATGTGTGGGTTGCTAGGAAATACCTACTAAGAATAGATTAGGAGGTGCAATTTTATTTAATTCTAACCTAGTCTACAACAAGGTTTGGGTGGCTTACAATAAAAACACCCAACAGCCCCTCGTAGGGTACCCCTCTGAAGGACCTCAGGCTGTTGATCGTACCTCTTGGTGCTACTGCACCTGGAAGCCTTGATGTCACCAGGGGTGACACCCCACAAGATGGTGAGTTCTAAACACTCTGACCCCTGCTTCATCACTGTGCAGATTCTCGAAGTTGCTAAGGGAGGGTAGAGGGCACTAAGGGAACAGGGTTCTAGTAAGGCCACTGTATTCGCTAACTTGCTACCTCAAGGCCATGCGCTCTGGCCTCAATTCTCTTCCCAAGATTTTGCAGGATGCCCACAAGACAGATGGCTTGGGCTTGAAGGCACACTGCACCAGTGCTTTACAGGCTACTTCATCCCTGGGCTTGGCTTCCCCTCTCTCAGGCACCGAGAGGAGTAACCGAAAACAGCCTTAGCACACACGAGCTCGGTGGATGCCAGCATCGCCGATTTCCGACCGTCCAGGCTCGGCCTTCCTCTCCATGCCGTTAACTTGCAGAGGGAGCGGGGTGATCCCCAAGCTCGGGCCGACGCCCCCACTTCTTTCGCAGGGGAGCGGGCGGCCAGTCGCGACAGCGGCGGTGCATTGTGGGGCTTGTAGTGTAGGGCTAGGGGCGGGTGGGCGCGGCCGCGGCAGTCGCAGCGGGGCCATCTTCAGCGGGCCGGCCGGCTCGGCCAGTGCCGCCCGCATCCACGTTCCTCGCCCGGGGCCATGGCGCCGCGGCCGCTGGGCCCCTTGGTGCTGGCGCTGGGCGGCGCCGCGGCCGTGCTCGGCTCGGTGCTCTTCATTCTCTGGAAGGCCTACTTCGGCCGCGGACGGGAGCGGCGCTGGGACCAGGGCGAGGCCTGGTGGGGCGTGGAGCCTGCCCGTCTCCCGGAGTGGGATGAGTGGGAGGTGAGTGCCAGCCGGGGTCTGCGCCTCACGCGAGCGCCAGGATGGGGCACTTAGCCGCGCGGGTGGGCGTGCGGCGGGCCAGGGATGAGCCGGGGAACTGAAGGACTGGTGGGCGTTTGGGTCGATGGGTGGCGCCCTGGTCGCCACGGTACTCGGGCTCCCTCGCCAGAGTGGGAGTCGAGGGGCGCGGCCCCGCGCTGTCGCCGAGCTCGCGCCTGGTCCAGCCCGCGCCCTGCCTGCGCCCGCGCCTGCGCAGTGCCCGCGGCGGCGTGGCCCGGCCCGGGGGACGCCGGGAGAGGTCGCGAACTCCGCCCCCTCGGAAAGCCGGCGGCGGGGCGGTGCGTGCGGGCTGCGCAGTGCTGCATGGGGCGGGGCGAGTATCAGCTTCCGGAGCCCCAGGCCCGCGAGGTTGGGCTTTGGCCGGCGCCCACTCGGCGGAAACCGGGAGAGCGCTGTCTGAGATGCAGAACGCCACAGGCAGCGCTCGTCCTGCCGCCCCAGGCCGCACCTGCCCACCTCCGACGGCTGGAGGGCGGGCTGGTGCCTTTGGGCAGTGAGGAGGTGGGCCTCAGCCTGACCCGTGCCCCGCAGCCCCAGGACGAGGAGGACGAGGAGCCGGCGCTGGAGGAGCTGGAGCAGCGCGAGGTGCTGGTGCTGGGGCTGGACGGTTCGGGGAAGAGCACGTTCCTGAGAGTGCTGTCCGGGAAGCCGCCGCTGGAAGGCCACATTCCCACCTGGGGCTTCAACTCCGTGCGGCTGCCCACCAAGGACTTCGAGGTGGACCTGCTAGAGAGTGAGCAGACCGCCCCTCACCTGACACACGCGCACAGTCCCACCGCCCCATCACCGCAATTGAACCCAAACCTCGACTCTGCCTGGGGGTGGCGCCAAAATGCTTCCTGCACCGGACTTGCCTGTGTATGAAATGCCCCCGGGGCACAGGATACCGCCCGTCTCCCTCCCTATGCATAGGGCCCATCGTGATGAGGCATCTCCAGTTTGGTCACCTGTCCCTCACCCCTGCAGTAGCCAGTGTGCCTGCCACCCACATGTTAACAGCATAACAGATACTTGCAGGCATTATTTAATAAAATTTTCCCAACAGTTCCTTAAAAAGAAGAAACAGTAATTATCCTCACTATAAACACGAGAAAACACACAGAGGTGTAGCAAGTTAAATAATTTATCCAAGTTCACCTAGCATACCAATCTGCTAATGAAGACCACCTATAGCCTGTGTTACGCACCATAACTCTATTACTCTTTTACGGAGGGTATTTGCTGTTTCATCTGTCCCTTGCACACACTGTTCTCTTCATTTCTGCAGCCCTTCCTTTACAAGCTGACATGCATCCTTCAAGATCTAGGCCAAACATGATATCCCTGTGAGACTTTCTCTGCCACTGCCCCCCTCACCTGCCCACACTGTCACGGCCTCCTCGCCAGCTCCCCCAGCTTTGTTAGGGGATTCTCTGGGCTTTTGCAGTTTGGGGTACATAAAGCTTATGTCCCTGACTAGGGCCCGTTCAGAGCCCGTATCTGAGAGCAGCCCCCTGCCGCAGCCCTAAGCTTTTCAGGTTCTGGGAAGAGGTTAGTGGAGAAGGTATTGAGAGGGTGCAGTACTTAACCACCTGTGCCCAGTTGCAGACTCTGGGAAGGTGGAAGTCCTAACCGCCAAAGGACTTGAACCATGAAGACAGAGTGGGTTTGCTTTATAGCCAGGTGTGGGGTCAAACCAAGGATCTAGCTATTGGCTGAGTGGGCCCAGTTCCTCTGACCTGTTCTGGCTACATCTGACCTTCCTGTTTGTCGCAGTGATATTAGTCTGGGATTCAGTCCTTTCAGCAAGCTTTCCCAGCCTCTCCCTCTTGTGCCAGGGCACTTGAGCCCTCTCTATCTGACAGAGACTTAACTATACCCTCCCTCCCCCCAACCATGGGAGAAGGGTTACTGGTGTCTGACCAGTAACAGTCCAGGCCCAATAGAACCACTCAGCCTAAATTCAAACCCAGATCTCCCAGTCGAGTCCTGGGGCTTTCCTCCCACAACTTTGCTGTGGTCTTTACAACACCTAGATCCCACCCAAGGCTCTCTGTAGGTTGCTGATGAGCCTTCCCACTAGCTCCAGTATCCATTTAATTCACTGTTTCTATCATCTTCAGCCTTCAGTAGATTTAACATCTGCCCACATCTTCCCACTTCACCACCTACAAGGTCTAAGCCACTATCATCTCAGTACTGCAACACTCTCCTCACCACTCTGCGCATCCACTTTTGTGCCCAGCATCTGCCAGAAATATGCTCAGAAACCCCATATCAGGTCACTCTTGCTTCCCACCCCTATAAGGGGCTCCCCGTAGCCTCATTGTGGCCTTAAAAGGCCCTACGTGGTCCAGCACTGGCCAGCCTTGCCAGTCAGGCTTCCCTTCTGGGCCACCTTGACTGTTCCCTCTATTGGTAATGCTTTACTCTGCGCCCTTCCACTGCAGCTCCTTGTCACCCCAGACTCAGCTCCATGCCCCTCGCCCCATTGCTTTCACTTATTTTCTGTTTTATTTCTGTCTTTTCTGAAATGTATTGATAAGTTATTTCTGTGTCTGTCCTGGTGACGGAGGGAGCTCCTTGAGGCCAGAGCTCCTGCCTGCCTTGCTCACCTCTGTATCCCCAGCACCCAGATCAGCGCTTGGCACCTAGTAAGCACTCAGTAAATACCTGTTGAGTGCCTGCTATGTGCCAGGCATTGTGCTGAGGGCTTTGGGGGGATCCAGAGGTAAATGGCTCTATCTAGCTTTAAAAAGAGATTAGAGTCCACAGATATCAGAAGTATAACCAGAAGCATCAGGATGCAGGGTGACTGATGGGGACGTACACAGGGACAGAGAGGAACAGGACGACAGCCCAGGTTGGGGTACTATATAAGTAGGCATGTGGTACAAGAGTGAGTGTGGCACTTTTGGAAAGTGAGGTGACCTTATTGAATGAGAGAAACTAAATGGAGAATGGCTGTGTGTAGGTGGGTTAGGGCTTCCTGGCCTCTGACCACAGCCACCACCGACCCAGAGGAAGCTAAGCCCAGGAGGAAGAACTGGAGAGTGGCATTTCCTGAGTACCTACCATGTGCCAGTCCTATGAAAGGTTCACTGTGTATGGTACCTTTGGGTTTTGCTGCAGCTTAGTAGATAAATTCGGTGGGACCGATGCTGGAAGAGAGCAGCATACCCTGGGACATGCACCTGTTTGGAGCTACAAGCAGGTCTGCATGGCTCTGGAACCTGTGGTCTTTTCCTTGTTGTGGGCGGGTGGAGTCTGAAGTCAGAAGAGGGTGGAGTTAGGGCTCCATGTAGAGAACCAAGACCAGGTAGGCTCTGAACTGGCCCCTGACCTCTCCTCAGTCGGTGGCAGCCAGAACCTGCGCTTCTACTGGAAGGAATTTGTGAATGAAGTGGACGTGCTGGTGTTCATGGTGGATTCGGCTGACCGGCTGCGGCTGCCCTGGGCCCGTCAGGAGCTGCACAAGCTGCTGGACAAGGACCCTGACCTGCCTGTCGTCGTGGTGGCCAACAAGCAGGTGAGGGCCATGGGAGGCCAACTCAGTCCGACTGGCTTGATCCGATGTCCCTGCTGGCAGGGACGGGGGGCACTGGAGAGGGATTCAGGCCCAGGCCATGATGGAACCTTCGGCTGATTCACCAACCCACCCCTCTTCTACCTATGTTCTTTCCTCATTCCTAAGCTTTCTCTGCCCTCCTCTTTGCCTCCCTGCCATCTTTCATCCTGGTGAAATTGGAAAAACCTCATTGTGTTTAAGTACACGATATATACCAGGTGTGGTTTGAATGACATTTTCTGTTGTGCTTCCACTGACCCTGCAAGGTACGGGATATGCCCAATTTTTGCGGAATTGCAAACTCAGAAAATTTTGTGATCTCCCCCAGTTGTGCACCTTGAATGTAGTGGAATTGGGATGTCTAACTCCAAAATTGTATCTTTTCTACTCTGTGCCATCCTGATGACTTCTGGCTTAAGTGACTAAGAAGTGATGGCAAGTTGAACAGACTAAATAAGAATTAAATTTACTGTGTGCTTACGATGTGCAGGCACAGTGCTGAGCACCGGATAGGCATGGCCTTACTTTCACCCTACAGAAAACCCACCATCAGCTCTGCTGTTATCCCTTTTACCAGATTTGGGCTCATGTGACAAAGCTAGGACTTGAACGCAGGTCTTCTTCCAAGTGTCCACTTCCTGTGGCTGTTTTTCACCACTCCACCATACTACTTCCTGGTGCCAGAGGCGGCCTTCATCCTTGCAGACCTAGCGTGCCATCCTCAACACCAGGAGAAACTGCCCCAGGCCACAGTCCTGCCGTGTTTCCTCTTGCCTTGCCTGTGTCCCTGTGAGCTGCATGTTTCCTGCTGCCTCAGATTCCTGCAGGAAATACCTGACCTTTTATAAATAAGTGAACATCTGTCCCCATTTATCTGTTCTGGTCTATCAGTGCCCACTTTGATTTCAGAAGTATCCGGTTTGGACAGTGAATAACTGTCATAATGATTGTGAACCTACGGGAGAGAAAATTTAAAGCCGCAGCATTCAATACATTGCTTCAGTGCAAGAAGCATTGAAGAATGTAAGAAGAATCATTTTAACCTCAGATTAGGGTTGCAGTAAAAATGTACCATCATAGCCATGCACTGTGGTTTCCTCTTTTTCTCCCCAGCCAGTATCTAGCAATTTGGAGGAGTGAGGCCCTTGTCTGGACATCGCCCTGCTGTAAGATCTTTCCACTGTTGAAACTTCCACTTAGGAAACTGACCTAGGATTCCTAAAATCATGATCTTGGTCATCAAACCAACCCGAGTCTGGAACCTAGATGTTCCACTTAGTATTGAATCCATGGATGAATCACTTCCCTCCCCCACCCAGTTTCCTCACTAAGTGCAGATCGTGAGAATGAAATGACTAAGTGCCTGTCACAGTGCCTGACTTAGCAAAAGTGCTGTTTGCCACCGTAGTGGCAGATGACAGAGTCAACAAAAGAATGGCAGAGATGAACCCAAGGGGCCCAGAAGCCAGTTCTGGGAACTTAGGCCAGTGTTTGCCCTGGGGGAGCGGAAGAAGAGTGGTTTCTTGGATGACCTGGGTGGGTGTTTGGGAAACATTGTCACCTTTATTCCAAATGGCTTGTGTTCTGCCCCAGGACCTGAGTGAGGCCATGAGTATGGTGGAGCTGCAGCAGGAGCTGGGTCTGCAGGCCATCGACAGCCAGCGAGAGGTTTTCCTCCTGGCAGCCAGTGTCTCCCCTGCAGGACCCGGCTTTGAAAACCCCGGCACCGTGCACATCTGGAAACTACTCCTGGAGCTTCTCTCCTAGTCAGCGCGCCCAACTGCTCGCCCCAGCCTTGAGAACCCCAGTTCTGCTGCTCCCGTTCTTCCTGGCCTGGGCCTGGGGCAGGCGCCCCAGGCAGCACCCATTCTCCCTCCTTGATCCCCTTAAGACAGTGCCTGGGCCACATGGAGAACTTCACCAAAGCCCTCCTAGTTAGGTGGGTAGCCCTCGGGCTAAAGCAGTAGTGGGTGAGGCCAGTGGTGGGAAAAGTGTGTGTCTGCTTCATTCCATCTAGAATAGGGTCCAGCTTTTGTCCTGAAGGCATCCTTCCCTGACCTGAACCATGAACTTTCAGTGGGTTCTTTTCTCCCCTTCCAGTGGGTCCTGGTGGTTGAGGGCCAGTGTAGGTATCAGGAGTACTCCCAAGCTAGAAGGTCCCCTCCTGGTGACTCCATGCACAGGTGGGTTGTGGGTTCCCAGTCTGCATTTCCTGCTGCCCCACCTCTGCCCAACTAGCTAGTGGCCCTGTGCAATCCCTGCCTCCAGGGCCTTCACTTTTAAAGAGAGGTGATATCCATGTCTTTTTCTGCCTTGGAAGGATGTTTTCCAGCCCCGAGGAAAAAGGTGAAGGATCAAAAGAGCTTTCTGAAGACCTCCCTGCTTTCCCCTAAACTGTGTTCTGACTGGCCAGTCTTTCTCTCTTACTTGCAGACTAAGTGGTATTCAACCCCTAACAAGAAAAAAACTAAACTTTTCCCTCTCTCATCTGGAGACAGAAACTGCTGCTACTGCACTAACTGTGCCAGTGCCCGTGTTTACATTAGCCTGGGGAAGGAAGGCGCCATGTCCCTGGGGGAACATCGCCCACCAGATGGGTCAGAACTGCTTTCTAATTATTTATTTATTTATCAAAGGAACAGACCAGGGTTTTAGGCTCTGTTTCTAGGTGCTGTTACCAAAACCCCAGGTGATTGTCACGGGGAATTTGGAACTTTGAGGAAAATAACCAGAATCAAGAATGACCTTTGGATGTTAATGGAGATAGAGCTCTGACTTCCCCACCCAGCTATAATTGGTACCTTAATACTTCTCACTGATCCACCTGAACTTAAACACCACGATATTGAAGGGACATGCGTCTCTTGTGTAGCGGTAACAAACGGAGAGGACATTGAATCATGCGAGTCCAGCTCCAAAGAAATGGAATCACAGTCCAGCCAATTGGAAGTCCTTGGGTCCATCATCAGCCTTTCTGGACCCGTAGGTTCCCCAGCTAAAGCAAAATTGGACGGAGTTTCTGGCATTCTCTCCAGACCGCCTTCCACGATTCTCGTTTCCGGTCATCAGCCAGTGTAAAGACTGTCTGTGTTGACTTTTCTCTTTAGTGCAGGCAGAAGAAGGAGCCTTTTGTCTGTCAGGGGCCACTGAATAATGAGCAGGCACAAATGGACATTTTGCTTTTAATTGAGAACAGAGACTGTGCCTTCCTTTCATTTGACATTGACTGTGTGTGCTTCAATTCCAGGCTATGACCACACTAGGAGAGAAGTGGGGAGGGGTTGTGGGCTGGGAAGCTTCTGGATTTGAGAACTGAGCACAGACGTGGGAAGAATAGTCTACTGAGCGTGTGGGCTGCAGAGATTGGAATGGAGTCCAGTCCTTTGAACTGTTGATGAAATTTTTGCATTAACAAGTGATTTTTCTGCTTTTATTTAAAATATTTAAGGAATGACATGAAGTATAGCATAACCTTTGAAACTGCTGCCAACTTTTCATTTTGCCATTGGAAGGTCAAGCAATTTCATTGTCTTACAAATTCTACCCTATTCTCTGGTGCTTGAACCAGCAGTATTGAGGGACTTTTTCTTCTAATTAGGAACTGCGTTTGGTCCATTAAGTATCATGCTGTAGTCCAGTTTTAAATACCCAGTGGAATAGCCTTTTAAGTATACCTACTTGAGGAACTTTGAAAGACTACTCAAGTTAACAGCTCCCAGTGACTCATGGGGGGAGACACAGCACGGAAGGTGTGGAAGATGAAGCATCATCCCTCCCACACTTAACTAACCCAGAGCATAGACCTTCTGTTGGCCTGTGGGGTGCCTCACCAGGTTTGTGACTGACAGCTGCTTTCCTCTGTGGGGACTGCTGGCCATTATCCAGGCAGGGTGCCAAACAGTGCCCATCTGCTTTGGTTTCTGCCAAGACCAGACTGGCCAAGCCTGGGCTGGGGGAGGGTCAGAACAGCTTACCACCTGCCTGTGCTACATTTAACCATTTGCTCCTTAGTGGGACTTTGATTCAGGAGCCCAGATCTCTAGCCCTTGGGAACCAGTCCCATGACCTGGACCTGCTATCAGTGTGGTCCCTAAGCTGGCCTGGGTGAACCTCTCCCAACTCTGCTTGACTCCCCAGCTACCTACTCACTTGGTCACAGGACAGAATTCACAAGCAAATTCTGGATATGAGAGAGGAGGTGGCACTGACCATACCATGCCCATTCTTTATGCCAAAGGGAAGCCTCCACTTCTACTTGAACTTGCACCTGCATCGGAGCCTTCTGTTTTCAAGAGTTAAGTGAAGCGGCAACTTTCTGGTTTTGCCGTCCCACACCTATTGCCATCCCTTTTGAGAAGAGGCCAGCTGGGCCCAGAGTTGCACATGCGGAGGATCTGGGCAAGAGAGCTTTGAAGTTTAAGACTGCTGGGACCACACCTTGAACTGGCTGCCTATTCCAAGCCTCTTGGGCGCATCTTGGTGCCTGGAACTGCAGGTGTTGGGCTTGTGCTGAGGTGGTATCCAGCTCTAAGGACCAGGGAGGAGAAGTCCATCCAGCTCAGCCTCCTGGTGGTTAGCAGAGAGGTGCTGATGAAAATATCTACTCTGGCCCTCTACCTGAATGAAACACCAGATTTTCAAAAAAAAGTTTCCACTTGCCTTTGAAAAACACTGTATTCTTGCGCTAGTTTAGTAGCAACTGCCAGCATTTTGAACCAGCTGCTTATTTCTGTGGTGTCATATATAACTGCCTCAGACCTCAGTCTGAGTGGCCAGCCCAAGTGGCTGGCTGCTCACTCATCTTCAAAGCCCTCTAGTCACTGTGGAAAAGAGGGTCTCCATCTCTTCCTCATCTGCTGCCTCCACTAGATGGGCCCATTCAGGGTCAAAGTCAGGATTCCATCAAAGATCTGGAAGTAAAAGGCCCTGCTTCCCAGCCGTGCCTGTGAACCTAGGCCTCGGGGTTACCATGGAACCAGCTGCACAAGACAGTCATTGGCTATTTGAGGTAGACAATAAATGCCAAAAACTGATGTGATTTCAACTGATTTGGAAGCCTCTGTGCTGGGTGCTTAGTCTCAGGGAAATGTGGAGGGTAAGCCCAGGGCACCTATGACACAAAAAGCCAGACAGCAGGTCTCATTCACGTGGCCCTTTGGTCCACACAAGGATGGTAAGGAACAATGGCTTTGGGGGGGGGTGGGGGGCCAAGGGAGATGTCCTCCCATGTACCCCCCTTGCCAGCTGTTTGAATGAGGGCACAAAACTGTGTGTCAGCTGTTCACAGGCACCTGCATTAGGCCTAGCTCTACTTCCAGGCAAGGCCCCAGCATCCAAATCCAGTCTTACAGGGGGTGCCAAGCTGGTAAGAGGCAGTTACAACTGAGGGAGGTACTGCTGCAGGAAATCTGGGGAATAGGAGCTACTGGACATGGCCAGGGGCTAGGGTAGAGTGGTACTGAAGACTTGAAGATGGCATCTGAAGGGGACAGCCTAGTCAAAGGCCTGAATTTGGAAGGTAGCAAAGGATGAAAGCACCAGGGCCACCTCAGAAAGGGACACTAGAGCCCTGCTGCAGTGATTAGACTGGCTACTGGCATCCTCCCGGCCCTTCTAGTCTCTAGCCTGCCTCAATGTGTCAGTTGACAGGCTGCCTTCAGGGGCCAAAGGAGACAATGACAAGCAAATACCCAGGGTTAGCTGTGGGGGAGTCAAGACTTGAACCCCCACACTGATGGCTCTCAAGCCTCAAATTCCTAACCTGTTAGATGAGATTAAAAAAACACGATAGTATTTTCCATGAAATGACCTATATAAAAACACTAAATCATTTCAAGGGCAATGAGGAGGACACAGCATCAAGACTTAGAAAATTCCCAGGGCCCATCCCACACCCGCCCTACAATCCTCCTCTTCACTTAACACCCCAGCTGAGAGGTCTGCCACAGAGCATGGCCACCAGTATTTCCCACTGAGTATTCAGTGGTCTACTATGTGTTCTCAGAAAGCAGGTCTGGAGCCTCGGGTTCCTGTCAAGCCTAGGCCAATATAAGCCACATGAAACTGAGCAGTGAAGGGATGAAGGCAGACTGGGAGGGGCCACACAGCTCCTCACCTTTTGGCATTGAGGTAAGGTAGCACTTGGCAAGGCAGCCCCTTCCAGGCAGCCCAGGATTCCTGGCAGGCTTCCATGGAAGGGTTTGACGTTACACAGGAAACCAAGGCAGAGCAGTGGAAGCAGAACAGGGGAGGAGAGGGATGCTGTGCCTAGGCTGTGGACACAGTACAGCCCAGGCTGGTTGGACTCTGCTTGGTCAAGGGCTTTTAAGGGGCAGCCCCAAAACTTGGCAGGAGGGTAAAATCCAAAACCACCCAGGCAGTAAAAGAGCCTTGTTTTATTATGTACAGACTGTATTCAAAACAAACCATCTACCTGAAATGGCAGCGTCCAATATTTCCCAGAGTCCCCAGGACATAAACGAGCCTGTGGGAGTCAGCTCACTCCCAGAGAGGGAAGTGTGTATCTTTCGGTTCCATAGGGTTTGGCCAGCCTCAGCTGTGGCCACACTCGTTGCCTTAAACCCTGGCTCCAACTTTACAGGTCCAAAAGGAGGCCTCAGACCAGGGCAGGTAGAAACCAGTCACTCCACCTCCATCTTATTCTTCTGCAAGGAATCCATGAAGGTTTGCCACTCTGCTGGGTAAAAACGTTTATAGACGTTGATCTTATTCCGAATCTGTTTGGGGGTATCTTGATAGTAATTCTTCTCATCTCGTGCCATAGCCTAAGAAGGAAGAAGGGCAATTTGAGGAGGGCTGAGGAGACAAAGGTCCAAATCCCAACACTGCCCCCATTGGGCAAGTCTCACACTTCAAAGCCATAGTGTATATGGGGAAATAGAAACAAATGCCTCACGGATAGAGGAGGTGGGGTCAATGTGCAGATTCACTCATAACTAACTGAGCCCTCTATAGGGGTCCAGTTTAGCCAGATCTTTCTTTTTAGAGAGAAGTAAAAATACGGACTTCAATTTGAAATCTCCCATAATTACAATGGCAACTAGTTCAAGTTCTTTGAAAATACCATGCAAGCAAAACCACCTCTCTCTCTGGGTGGGATATGACCCACAGGCCGCCCAGCCCAGCCTAGCTATGCACATTCTGATGATCGGATCCATTTCCAAGTCTTTGTCCTCAGTTTATGTCCAGTTTGTCTCAGGAAATACACTAGGTAAGCAGATCAAACCCCAAATGATTCAGGTTGCCTTCCCAAGGAGCCCAAGTGGTTCTTCGTGTCTAACCTGAGCCACTCACCTTATAATCCTCCCCATGGTTCTCCACCATGTATCGGACATAGTCAATGAGGTCCCGAGACAGAGTATTTTCTTTCTTTTCTGGGAGGCTGGCTTCTGCTTCCAGGTCTGGGGTGAGAAACCAGGAGACAGGAGGTGAGGCTTGGCTTCCAGTACAACTTACCCTGTCACCCCTACGCCTAAACCCAAGCCACAAGAGTTGCCACATCAGCCACCTGATGAGTTTTGCCTCTCCATCCCCAAATTCAGTGCTAGGCTGTTACACAACTGGCTGTCATGTGGCATCTACCTGAAAGGCAAGTCATCACTTTCTGGGCTTCAGCTGGGTAAAAGGCAGACACTAAATTCATAATCTCTACTCAGAACCAAGTGCTGGAGACAGAGATAAAGATACACTCCAGACAGGGCAGGGATCCCTTCCAGCTCTGAAACTCCTGGAGAGCTCTTAAAGTATAACAATAATAACACCTGAGATGGAAATTTCTGATAAATGAGAACTAGAGCTTCAGAACCAGAGCCCAGGCATCTCACTGCTCCATGTGAGAGAAGCAGCCAAGCTGTAGAACCAAAAACGGTTTCACTCTTCCCTATTTCTCACCTATGAAGGGAGAAAAATAGCTACCTTACAGAAAAGACAGTCAAATTTTATCCAAGCAGTTAAATACTAAAAATTTGCTTTATAGTGAAATCTACCTTTGACTTGGTTGCCAGGGTTTGGGGAGAAGAGAAAGTCTAGAGTTGTTTAATGGGTACAGAGTTTCAGATTTGTCAGATGAAAAGTTCTGGACATCTGTCCCATAATAATGTAATTATATACCTAACACAACTGAGCTATTTAAAATGTATACATTAAAAATGACCAA